GACCTGTGCAGGAAGAAGGACAGGGGGAGTGCGTCCCTGTTAGTTCTTCTGGACCTCTCAGCGGCTTTCGATACCATTGACCATGGTATCCTTCTGGATAGGCTAGCGGGATTGGGGGTCGGAGGCACTGCTTTGCAGTGGTTCCGCTCCTATCTCAATGACTGATTCCAGAAGGTGGTGCTGGGGGACTATGGCTCTGCGCCATGGCAGTTATGCCATGGAGTACCGCAGGGGTCCATTTTGTCCCCTTTGCTGTTCAACATCTACATGAAACCGCTGGGAGAGGTCATCGGGAGGTGTGGGCTGTGGAATCATCAGTACGCTGATGATACCCAGCTCTACCTCTCATTTTCCACCAATCCAGGTGAGGCAGTGGCTGTGCTGAACCAGTGCCTGGCCGAGGTAATGGGCTGGCCGAGGTAATGGGCTGAATTGAACTGAAGCTCAATTCAGACAAGACAGAGGTCCTGTTGGTTGGTGGATCGGGCTTCGGAGAGGGTGAATTGAACCTAGTCCTGAATGGGGTAGCACTCCCTATTAGGGACAAGGTCCGCAGCTTGGGAGTGCTCCTCGACCTGGAGCTTTCACTGGAAGCTCATGTAACAGCAGCGGCGAGGAGTGCTTTCCTTCAGCTTTGGCTGATTCATCAGCTGCGCCCCTACCTGGAGTACGACTGCCTCGCAACAGTGACACACGCGCTGGTGACTTCCCGTCTTGACTTCTGTAATGCGCTCTACATGGGGCTACCCTTGAAGACGGTCCGGATACTGCAATTGGTTCAAAATAGAGCTGCCAGGTTGCTGACGGGGACTGGGCATTATGTTCACATGACTCCAGTCCTCCGTCAGCTTCAATGGCTTCCCATTGAAGTCCGGGCCCAATTCAAGGTGTTGGTGATGACCTATAAAGCCCTAAACGGCTTGGGTCCTGGCTACCTGAAGGAGCGCTTACATTCATATACGCCCGCCCGCCCCGAGATCTGCAGGAGAGGCCCTTCTCCGGGAACCCTCCGGGAAGGAAATTAGGAGGGTAGGTACTCGGAGGAGGGCTTTCTCTGCGGTGGCGCCCAATCTATGGAATGCACTCCCCAGAGAGGTCCGCCTGGCGCCATCGTTATTTTTTTTTCGGCGCCAGGCGAAGACCTTTTTATTCAAACGTCATTTTAATTGCTAATATTATTTGCTTATTTTATTCTTTGGCCAGGGCGACTTATTTTATATTGTTAATTCGTTTTATATTTTTAGTGTATTATATTTTAATTGATGTTTTGTGAGCCGCCCCGAGGCTTTGGCAAATGGGGCGGCATAGAAATTTTCTAAATAAATAAATAGATTAGATAGATAGATAGATAGATAGATAGAGCTGGTATCATCAGCATACTGGCAACTCCACAGCCCAAGCCCCTGGATGACCTCTCCCGGCGGTTTCATGTAGACGTTGAAAAGCATGAGGGACAGAATGGAACCCTGTGCAACTCCGTGGCAAAGCTACCGTGGTGCAGAGCCACAATCCCCCAGCACCACCTTCCGGAATTGGCCAGCCACGTAGAAGCAGAACCACCACAAAACAGTGCCTCCAACTCCCAACCCAGCCAGCCTATCCGGGATGCCATGGCTGATGGCATCAAGAGCTGGTGAGAGGTCCAGGAGAACCAGCGGGACACACTACATTCCCACCTCTGGCTGACAGTTTCACCAGGCCAAGGAACGCTGGGGGAAAATCGTACAGGATGGGAGAAATGAGCCCCTCCTTCCCAAGCCCTCCCAGATAGCACTGAGCCTAATACCTGGAGCTTCCAGAACTTCACCCAGGACTCAGCTGCAGTACGTGAGAAGCTTCTGGAATAAGTCCTCCTTGTGAAGATTTCTTTACTCATAAGGAGCATAAAAACATAACATTGAGAGAGTCATGGATCAGATCAAAGGTCCACCTAGTCCAGCATTCTGTCCACACAGAGGTCAATCGGCTGCCTAAGGAGCCTTTCCTTGCAAACGGTCCCTTCTTCTCTCAGGGGAGGCCCCTGCCTGACTTTTGAGACACCCGTCGCTCTTGCAGTGAGAGAGGCTTTTGTGGGAACAGGCCCTCAGCCATCTCCCAGGGCTCTTCTTGCACAAACAGCTTGTTCCCAGGAATTCTAGCTCCTTCTCTGAAGAGGATTCCTCCTGGGGGATGAGAATTCTTTCCATTCCCCCCCCCCCCCGGATTCCAGTCTGCTCACTATCTCCATGTTCTCCTTTAAAATCAGGCACTCCGGCTCCCTTGCCTCACCTCCGAGGCTTCTAGCATTAAAGCAGGTGCACACAGTGGCCACATCCAGATTCCCCTGGTGGACCTTCCGCCTCTGAAGATCATGTTCCACTCGATGTTAAGAGACCTATTTCCACCCCATTCCCATTCGGACAATCAGGAATGACTAACTCCCTAGGAATACCTCCCAGCTCTTCCCAGGGATCAAATGGAAAGCGGCTTTGCCCCCTTTCTGATGTTAAGTACCAGCAGTCTAGCTGCGTTCTGGTTCAAACAGGGCATCCCTTTCCTGGATCCGAACAAGTCTTCCTACTTCACAGTCTCCTTCACAGCCTGAGATCCCCCAGTCCCACTTTTCTAGCCGGAAACAGAGACGGTGGTGCCTCAGGCTCACACCACAGTAGAATCGGAAAGGGCCTACAGAGCACCGCTGTAGCAGCCCTGGCTTGCACTGCTCTACATCTCACTTCCGGGACCTCATAGCTCTATTTCCGCATCTCACTGGTACGAAGAGAGCACCCTCTACTAAACCAGCTAGACAACATGTGAAGTCGGCCCCCAGTTGTTGCAAGCGGCAGGCAAGCCACGTACCATCTCTGCAGCCATCGCAAAACAACCTACTTTGTCTACAGCAAGTCAACACACACACAACGTTTTTGTTGGCATTCACGTAACATGTTTGGAACTAGGCAAACTTCTGCACACTGGGCACTCCACAGAGGGAGTGCCATGACTGCAAAGAGCAGCCGGGGGGGCGGGTCAGCCCAAGAACAAAGGGCTCTGGTGGGGCTTATGGCAAAGGCAATGATCCTTTGCAGAGCCAGCTCCCGAGCAGCTCAGGGCTTCAGAGGCTGCGACGATCCCTCCGGACAGAGCCCAAAAGTGCAAAGGCAAGGAATGTCCCCTGTGGCCAATCTAGGCAGCTGCTCGGTGATCGTGCTCGGAGAGCCCTGGGAGAGCTCCACGCCCCAGGGCAGCACAGCACCGATGAAAGAAAGGCTTGGTCGGCACCCTGGGGGGGGGGCGAGGGAAGACAAGGGGCGAGCTGGAAGGCGGCCGAGTTCCTATGCGAGACAGGCTCCTCCACAGGAACGGCGAGGCGATGAATAACACACAGCAGGCCGTGCAGCGTCTTCCCAGGGCCCAAGCGCCCGCCTGCGCAGCTCTTCGGAACCATGTTGCGGCCTCATGGCCACCAGCCAGTTAGAAAGCGCACCAGCGATTGTCCTGCTACGCCTCCTCCGGGAATCCTGCTTGTGCTATGCAAATGCAGCCGCCCAACCTGCTGACACAGGTCAACCTTCCTGGAAGAGGAGGCCGTGGCCACTGCACGTCCGGCAGACCTGGCGTCGCTGGGAGGCAGGAGCTCCGCAGCATCCACAGTAAGCGGCGCTATCGTCGGTCCTCGGCCCGGGCAGAGGAACTGATGTGCTGCTGACCCAGGTGACTCTGGTGCTCACAGAGCATCCCCGGCCCGCCCAGGGAACCAACGCAGCCACAGGTAAGTGGAGCGCATCCACTTCTGGCTTGCTTCTATTCCGCATCCGTATTCCACCACTGTATTCAACAGGCAGCATCTCATTCATGACGCAGGTGGCTTTGCTTCATCTTGGAGTGTCCCTCCAAGCTAAGGTGAGGTGCCGTGGCTGGACCAGGCCCCTGGAATGGGCGCCCCTCCACCTCACTCATCAGAAAAAGAAGCCATGAAGCCGCCGTGCTCAGGGGTTGTCTTCTACGGGAATTTACCAAGTAACCACTACAACATGAATTATTTCTGGAAATTTTCAGATGCTGAGGAGGAAGGGGAGCTTACGCAGCATGATTACAACCCTATGAGGATCTGAGGTCGCTTCGTGCCCAGCCTAAGCAGGCAATGGCCCCCTGCCTTGCGCCCTCCATCCCAGTCATCTCTCTACTGTGCATGGAGGAAGCAGCAGCTGCTCTCCAGGATCTCAGGGCAGTGTGGGGAAGGCCCTTTCTCAGACACGTCACCTGTGCTCCTTCCACTAGAAACGCTGGAGGAAAGCCTCGTAGCAGAATTTACGAGGTGCAGGCAAGCACAGGGACACCCTGGCAGCTCTGTTATCCATGAACAGTGCAGCTTTTTGACTGTGGCCAGACTTAACCTGGAGCAGTTACTAATTGTGGTCAAAACCCCTTACCCATAACTCAACCAAGCTCAACCCATTTCTGGGGGATGCACCACACTACAATCACTGCACTGGGCGCACAGAGCAGAGTACCGAGTGCTCCTTGCAGAACCATGAACTCCGAGACGGGCTCGGAAGCTGAACCCCTGCTCAGTCGACCTCGGAGCACATGCTGAAGACGACAACCATGGGAGGCCAGGCTCCCTACCCTGCCGTGAAGCATTTCCACCTCATCTGGCTGTGAAAATCAGGATCCTGGGTGAGAGGCACCCACCTTGCCTGATCCAGCCAGGAGGCTCCACGGATGTCCTTACATGATGGCCACAGGACAAACCGCCTGACCACTGACCCCTGGGGAGGAAGCAGAAGTGCTCTGATTTGCAACTTTTCGCTATGCACCTGGAGAATTTTGCATCTTTTGCCTGCTGATTTTGCAGAAGGCAGGCATAAAGGTCATGGCCAAACGCCAAACAGCCAGAGCGGTTCACTGGCATTTGCCTCACAGCCCGCTGGACTCTGAGAAATGTGCCGGGACCCCTTGCCTCCTGCCTCCAGCCCTGAGGCATGCAACGCAGCGAGAACCCCCAGCTCAGTCCTGCTTACCCAGCTCGCCGTGGCTCAAGCAACGTCAGCAGGGCCTGCGTCCCGCTCACGAGGCAGCTCTCTGTCCTTTCTCCATCAAACATATTCTTCAGCAGTTGCGCCACACATTCCTGCCTGGGAACACCACAAACAGGTCACAGCTCCTCAGGGTGGCCCCACCCCCAGACAGGAAATCGCACAAACACACCACAGTGGTCTGCCCCACAGGAGCTTCCGTTCCACGCACCCACACCCTAACCCCGGCCCACCTCTGCTTCGTGGACCCAGGCCTCTTCCCCCGGGGGCAGGTGGGAGAACCATCTGGGCACCCCAACAGGCCGCTCAGGAGCAGCAGCGGTCCTCCTCGAGCTCTTGCCACCATCCCTTTTCCGGGTTCTCTGGCTGTGGCCGCGGCCAGGCCATCCACAGCCTTTTTGCAGCTACACTTTGCTTCATTTTATCTGCCTTTCCTCGAAGCAGCCGAAGGGGACACACCCAGCTGTCACCCGCCCACTCTCCCCAGTGCGTGGTGGCGATGGTCAGGCTGAGAGGGGGCAAGCTCCAAGGCCCGCAGTCTGGCTCACAACTGAGAGAACACTAAAGTCCGGGGCCGCTCGGTGCCAGTTCAGCCCAGCCCTCACCGCCACACCACTCTTTAATGTGGGACTTCGAGCTGGCGGGGCAGAGACTCGCGAGGGGCAGGCTCTGTGCGCAGACACCCAGGCAGACCCACAGCTCTGCAACGAGCTGCCGCACAGCTCCCAGCCTGCCCAGCTCCGCCATGGAGACCCTCAGGGCAGCCAGTCCACCAGGCGGCACGAACAACAGAGGCGCCCGCAGCGGGTCCTGCGCGGGGCACTTGCGGCCAGTACTTACGACTCCAGAACTGCGAGGAGCGGATCGGGCTCAGCTGCTTCCTGGAGCTGGTTGCTCTGGTCTCTGCTCAGCCTGATGATATCGCACAGGGTCTGAGAAGCATTTGACTGCCTCTGCAAACAGAGAAACCCATTAGCCACGGCGGAAGGACCTTTGGGGCACCAAGGGGCTGCTGGCAACACCGAGAACCAGGCCCATGGGGCTCATGGAAGGAAGGCTGTGGGGCTCCCTCAAAAAAACCATCCCTGCCAAGGAAACTTCCCCCTCTCTAGAGGAGCAGTAATGGTACCTGGGGGGGAGGGGGGAGCCATTTCCAACATCGCATGCTCAGGCTCCCCTCCTTGGTCCTACAGCACAAGCATGTAAGGTGGACGTGGCTCTTGCCCCAGAGCGCCTGGCTAGCCGCACAACTCCCTCCCTCCGACTACGCTTGACATCTCGCAGAGCAACAATTCTGCTGATGACAGAATCAATGGTCCCGGGGTCCTGTGCGAGATCTCAGGATCAGCAGATTTCTCAAACCCATGAACAGTTTTCTCAACCCTGCTGCTCTCCAGATTTTCTGGACTTCAACACCTCCTGGCCTCAGCCAAGATTGTGGCAACCTTTCATATTTGTGACATCTTGCACTTCCTGCAAAGTTAGGGGATCTGATTCCTCCAAAAGGATTCTGGATTAACATAAGGAGTTTGGAAGCCCAGTGCAATTCGGCTTGGCCTCTTGCTACAAATGTAATTAAACTTGCCTTATCTTTGAGGCTTCCCAGATGAGAAACAGGAGTGCCAGACTATTAGAAATTGATGGCTGGCTAAGTGTTGGTCTTTCCTGAAGGAATTCCAAACAAGAGGTGCCAGAATTTGCTGTTGGGAATCTAGGTACTTAGTCCCATATCACATTTATAGTAACCTGAACTCTCTCTCTCTCTCTCTCTCTCTCTCTCTCTCTCTGTGTGTGTGTGTGTGTGTGTGTGTGTAAATAAGAACACCACCAATATGGTAAGAGGAGGGAGCTTCCCACCCTCTTCAATGTAAGACATGCATTTTGAGAAAACATAATCACAAGATGGTGCAGTCAAGCAATTAGTGGTGTGTTGTGAACATGCCTTGAAATTCTGGGATGTTTTATATGTCTATCATTATATTTTTATCTTGATTAAAAAGTGCTATTATTTAGATAAACACTGATTTAGAAATGTATTACTATGAGTTTATCTTAACAGAATATAAAGTAATGAAGTAAAAACAAGCTAAATGTACTTTACAGCCTCCAAGAAGTATATACAGAGTCCGAACATTCAGCATGGGGAGCTATCCCCATCAACAGATTGTCTGTAACCCATGCAGTAAGTTTGAAAGCAACAACTTTTATGGTTCTGCTTAGAAGCCTTAACTTAAAACGACACTATCAGGTGTTTGATGCTTCGATGCACATGGAAGTGTTGGGTTTGCATTGTTATGCTGATATTTTTTATAGGAGAGAAACAAAAATAACTCTCGTCTAACAGAGTGAGGGGAGTGAGGGGGGCACTGTTCTTGGCATGCGCTCCTGGGTCATGCCAATCTGAACCTATGAGTTAGACAGAGGAGGCAGTGGAGGGGCCTGAGAATTTGGGGGTTCACTCTGAGATGGGGGAAGCGGAGGTGCTTATCTCAAGGCCATCCTCCCCAGGTGCCCCGGCAAGCTCCGGGAATCACCAGGATGCACTGCTGCCGGGTGGGGGCATGGGAGAGGAGCTCCCGGAGACAGGTAAAGTTGGCACAGCTGTCACCCCATGATGCAGTGCTGGAAGAAGAGCACTAGCCAAGATGTGCAGAGAAAAGGCACGCTCCCTTCCAAATGGGCCCTCAAAAGGACTGGACTCAGACATACGTGAAAGGAGCATTTCCAAAAAAAGTTGTTCGATTGGGTTCAATGAAGTACATGCTCAGATATAGGTTCTGTGGTGATTGAGTTTATTGGGCATACTTAGAAACACAGAAACACACCGAGGCAGAAGGGGTCTCCTGGGCCATCTAGTCTGACCCCCAGCTCCAGCCAGCTCCACTCATGACATGCCTACTTTGGTGAAAAAACAGCATTTTGCAAAAGAACAGTCTGTTGCCTTCAATGCACTAAGGGAGGAAAACCCCAGCTTGCAACACAGAGTCCTGAAAACCCTAAACCTACAGAGTTTCATATCTGGCTGAGAATCTAAATCTATACTGATGATACGCCAGGACCTCTAAAGCGAGGCCTGCGCCACAGAATGGCCACTGCTCAGGAGTCCTGGAAGTCGCAGTCCAAAGCATCCCAAGCATACCAGGGCAAGAAAACTCTCCTGGAGGCCCCAGCAGCATTTGGGTAGAAGTGCGGCAGCAGGGAGGACTCGGCCCAGCCACTTGCCGCCTCTCGATGCACAGGCTGAAGCCCTGCCCCACGTCAGGAGGTGTGCAGCCCTGCCTTGCTCCTGGAGATGTGCACGGAGCGCTTTCCAGCAGGCCGGACCAGCTGCGCCATCTGGCCCATCCTCCTCCAAGCAGTGGGAGCAAAAGCGATGGGGATGCTGCAGGCTGACAAGGCTGGGCATCGGGGAGGCAGCCCCCCCCCCCAGCCTTCTCTGTGGCCCCACCAAGGCGAGTACCAAGCACTTGCTTACCATGGTCCTTGCCCTTCTTTAGCCAGCACAGGGGCAGAGCCTTCACTCTGCACTGCCCCCCTCTGGAAGACGCCAAACAGGGCGACGTCTCCTCGCCTCGCCCCACAAAGCGCCTTGCTTGTCAGTACAATCACTCTTCAACGCACAACAGAAAGGCCCCAGTCAAGAGGCGCTCAGTGACCATGTGGAAGGAATTCAGGGCAGATAAACCCCGTGGGGTCTTCCACAACTGAGATGTCAGCAACAACAGACAGATTTCTATCGGAAGTCCCCTGCCCGCCCAGCGATGCACCGGCATGCCCTCCACCCCCGAGCCTTCTTTGGTGTGTGTGTGTGTGGAGGGGCTTCCTCAGCTGCCCACACAGTCAGACCTCTTGCTTCCACTCACATCCTCGTCCTGGTTGGGAGAGATCAGCTCCACAAGTCTCTGGATGATCCTTGCTTCATTCAGCCACTGACGGAACAAGAAAGGGCAACAACCCAGCTCAGAATCGGACTTGTGGCAAAACCTTCCAGGCTGAGGGACCGGTCCGGGAGGGAGCTTCCCTGCCCCAAAGCCGGGCGTTTTCTCTGCCCGCTTGGCGGTCTTGTTGTCCCAAGGCGCCCCCAGCCAAAGAGAACTGCAGGCCGGCTATGAGCGGCACTCCCTTGGCTTGAGATGCCCCTCCCCAGCCTAAGCAGAGGCCGTCTGCTTGCCATCCCACCAGCATGGGAGCCCCTGCGCTCTACTCCTCGAGGGACTTGCACAGAGCAGAGAAGGGGGCCTGCAGAAACTCCAGGCACCCACACCAAGCAGGGAGGCAAGCACGGCTCCCCAGAGCTCTCCAAAGCAGCCATGCAGGAAGAAAATCACTCTCCCACTCGGTGCCACCAAGAATCTGGGCTTCCGCCAAGGGAAGGTGCTGCTAGAACCCCAGGTGAGGCTGGGACACCGTGAAGCCCATACTGGACTCCGTGGACCATAGCACAATGGGGGGCACGCGATTTACCAGATTAACCAGGGGAGGGGGGGGATTCTCACAAAGTGAGGAACCTCCTTCTGAAAAGTGGACTTAAAGAGAGACACAAATAGCAAGTGAAGCATGTCCGGGGCCAGTGCTGCCAAGCGCAAAAGGCACGAGCAGCGAGTCTCCCGTTTCAGGCACCCAGCTCTGTGCCCCTACAACCACCCCACACTTTTCAGTGCTTCCAGTCCAGAAAAGAAGTCCTCACATTTAGCACTTCCTGTCGCAGCTGGGCTGGCTCCACACAGCTCACAAGTCGCAGGAGAAGATCCATCATGGCAGATGTATCAATATGCTTGAGAACAAGGTCGATAAATTTGGCTTTTTTCCTCAAAAATGAAATCACCTAAAACACACACACACAAGCGAAGCTCTTTCATTGATTTAAAATAATAAGCCAATCATCCTCCATAAAGAATCTCCCAGCAGCACGCATGCTGTCACAAGAGCGAGCGCAACTCGGAATGGGGCCTTGTGCTTGGGGATGCCGGCCACCGGGGTGGGGCTGCCACCCACATGCCTGCTTGCCGGCTTCCCACCAGGACACATCTGGCTAGCTGCCACGTGAACACCACCCCCGACAGGAACTGGTCTGGACCACCTTGGCTCTTCCACTGTTCTTACAATGATGAAAATGACAAAACAAAATATATAAAACTAATTCAACCAGCAACCAAACTAACCTATTTACATAATTAATTTAAAATGCCTGGACAAAAGGGAACGTTGTGACTTTACACTGAGGGAGAAACCAGTTCAGCCCTGATTGCATCTCCCTCAGAAGGGCTCCCAGAGCCAGAGTGCCACCACTTTCATTACACTCTCATTTGTAATTAATCCTTTTTTGATTAACCTGAGGACAGCCTCTGAAAGAGCAAAGCTCCTGTAAGTGGGTTGTTTGAGCCATCTCTTCATCCTATTTATTCATCTTGTTTATTTTTTTGCCAAACTTATCACAAGCAGAGAAAGGAGGAATCAAAGACTCGGAAGCTGAGCAGTACCTGCTCCGTCTTCCTTGCTATGAGGTTGCCGATGGTCTTGCTGAAGAAACTGGCCAGCAAAGGGTTCAGGGGAGGCTCGTGGTCCAGGAAGTCATAGAGCATGTTCAGCAAGGCCTCGTCCCCTCCGAGCCGGTCATTGATCTGCGGCACGTCAGAGGTCAGCAGTTCACAGGCCATGTTGGGGTACCTGCAGGGACGCAAGCAGAGCCAGGGGGGCAAGGGAGGCACAGATCTCCAGCTTCAAGCCAGCTCTGAAAGATCCCCCGGCAGCACCGTACCTTCGCTGCCTATTTCCAACTAGCCAAGGCCGTAGGGGGGCCGTGCCAGACACATTAAGGCGAGCCTCGAAGCAGCAGCACGCAAAGCAAAGGAAGCTGGAATGGGCCACCCTGCTCCTAGCCCCGGTGGGCGACTGCACCCACCGCTCGAAGCAAACTCCCACTCTGACAGAGGTGCTGTGGTAGCTTCAGGATGGTGTGGCTCCAACAGGTCCACACATCCCGTAAGGAAGCAACGGAAGGGCTTCCCGGCCATCCCTTCAGGCCCTCTTGGCAGCTCTGGGGGCAAGCAGGACATCCTGCAGTCGGTCTCCAGAAGCAAGGTACGTACTTGAAGCGGACCTTTTCGTCCATGTCCAGTGGGGGCTCATGGGTGACGAGGCTGACCAGCTCCTCCATGCAGTGCTGCTGGCACAGGAAGTCCACCAGCTTGCGGTTCTGTGCTTTGCACTCCTGAAGGATGTCATCTTCCTCCATCAGCTCACAGAGAGTCACATCTTCTTTGTCCAGCAATTTGTCAATATGCGACGTTGTGTTCAGATCAAATTTCCAGAACATGGTGGGGGCGCACGCTTACCTGCAGGGAGGGGAGCACAGCGTGCGGTTAAAGCAATGCTACAACTGAAGCATCTCCTACAGCCTCCTCCCTGGAAGGCTCCACTTGCCCCTGGCTTACTGCCTGCTCCTCGCAGGAACAGAGATGCTCCCAGTGAACAGAGGAGCTCAGCTTTGGAGAAAGCCCATCCCTGAGCAATCAGGCGGGATGACAAATTAGGGCTACCTTTGGTTTTTATTAATGTCTTTCGAACTGCCTACCTTTCCTTACTGAGAATTAGCCAGTGGGTGGCTACACTGTGGAGCAAATGGGAAAACGAGCAATAGTACAACCTTGTTGGTAAGGCCCAATTTTGCAGCTTTGCTAAGCCCAGGTCTCTCTCTTTTTTACTTTTTTCCTCCTAGCTAAGCAATATGCTTCCAGCCCATCATGCTGGCAGACAGATCCCAGCTGTACAGACGGCCCACCCCTCATGCGATGGCTGGCCCGATCAAGGACTAGGCAAGCCGAGGAGCCCAGCTGCCCTCCAGGACCACTTCAGTCCACGTCACTGGACTGCCCTCCCGACCACTCCGCTGGCGCCAAGAACTGGCCGCTGGCTCAGCAACTCCTTTAGGTATTCACTATTGAGGTAGCTAAAGGGGGATTTTCCCTACAAACTCAGTTCGTGATTGATAGTAAACTGGAGCCCAGGCGTGAAACTGCTGGTCTACTGTGGATGCTCTAAGAGAGAGCCTGAACGATGGAATTTGCACTTCTGGCTCCTGGCTCGGAGTGGAGCAGAGCAGAGCAAGCTGCCCCAGCTGGTCCAGGGCCTCTGGGATACAAGCAGCCGTGCTCCCAGGGAGCGAGCGACCTGAGCAAGCGAACCGGCAACTGGTGGTGGAGTTTGGCAGGGAGGTCTCTCTTGCTTTTCCCCTCTTCTTTTCCACCCCCAAACTAGCTCCCCCATAGTTTGTTTTCTTCCTTGTAACACGTCCCAGCTTACTGGTAAGACTGTGCTGTTAACTGCCGGGGAAGACAAGAGAAAGAACCGGTTGCCGCACCAGGATCGGCATGGCAGAGTCAAGAAGGGAGCAGAAGGAAAGCCCTGGGAGGACTCCCCCCCGGCGGCAACCTGCCAGACCTGTGCAATGCCCGGGGCCAACATGGCCCACATGCCACCAGGGCAGGCCAGGAGCTCTGCTCGACGGTGAAAGCATCCGAGCACCGAGTGTCCCCCCTCGAGGGCATAAAAGACGGCGAAGAGTTGTTAGACAGAGCAGTGGAGCTGCCACAGCGAGGGGTACAAGGAGAGCAACAGAGAGCCGAGGCGGGGACGCGAAGGAGGAATCTCCCAGAAACAGGGTGCCAGACGCAGAGGAACTGGAAGATACGCCACTCCAGCGGGAGCCGCGGCACCCTTGAACCGCTCTAGGTCGCTCGAGGACGGGACGAGTGAGCGCCCCACAGGGAAGGAACCACACGACACACTGCGCAACTCTGAAAGGGAGACGAAAGGTCAATCAAGAGAGGAAGAGGATACCGAAGTTTGCAACAAAAAGGGGGAGGGACAATTGTGCGAGGTTCCCTGCTGCACAAGACGGAAAAACAAAAATATGTATGCCGTGATGACCCAGGAAATCGCTGAGCCTGCTGTCTCCCTGGTGCCAAGGTTAAGGCTATAGCCAGCAAGTTCACGCAACTCATGCAACCCACTGACAATACGCCTTCCTTCTCCTCCATGCGGGAACTAATGACACTGCCAGGAGAAGCTGTGCTGGAATAACATCAGACTTCGAAGAAAAATCCTTCAGGTGAATAACTGGCCACGATGGGGGTGCCATAGAGAGAGACTTGGATTCTGGGACCACAAGCCAAGATTCCTGGAAGATGGACTACTGGCAAATGATGAGCTGCACCTCACAAAGAACAGGAAGCAGATGTTTGGCCACTACCTGAAAAACTCCATCAGGAGAGCTTTAAACTAAAACCTCGAGGGGAGGGAGACGTGCAGCATGGCGCACCTGGCAAAGACTTATGTATTTCAACAGAGAAAACCCCCAAGCAGGGCCCAACACCAGTCTCCCAAAAAACCCTGGAAGAAAACCAGGGCACAGCGAGAATGACCGGCAACGTCTCTACACCAATGCCCAGAGTATGGGAACCAAACAACATGAACTTGTCATGAACGGAGCCGGCTGGAGCTGGGGTCTGACTAAATGGCCCGGGAAGCCCCTGCTGACTCGCTCTGTTTCTATGTTTCTAACTTGAGCTCATAGTACACAAGGGCAATTATGATCTTATAGGAATAACGGAAACTTGGTGGAACGACTCACATGACTCCAACTCTACAATTGATAGATAAAACCTTTTCAAGAAAAATAGAAAGGACAAAAAGAGAGGTGGAGCTGTACTATATGTTAGACACACATATATTTGCACAGAAATACAAGAAGAGGAACTTAGTAGTCCAACTGAAAGCATCTGGCTTAGTTTAAAGGGAGCAAAAAAATAAGAAAAATATAGTTATTGGCATATATTACTGACCACCCAGTCAAAAAACAGGACAAAGATGCAACCTTCGAAAAGCAACTTGCCAGCATTTTCAAGAGGAGTGATGCAGTCATCACAGGGGACTTCGGTTTTCCTGATATATGTGGGGAGAGAAATTCTGCCAAGCATGGCCCCTCCAAGAGATTCCTGGCATGTGTTGCCAACAACTTCCTCCAGCAGCAGAAGCAGCAATGAGAGGATCAGCGATCTTCGATGTGATACTAATTCACAGGGATGACCTGGTGGACAAAATAGCAGCCATGGGGACTCTGGGGGAATGTGACAGCGCGGCGCTTGAATTCCGACTTGTAAAGGAGGCAAAGGGAAACTGCAGCCAAGCACCATCTGCGCTTCAAGAGCGCCAACCTTAACAAAGTAAGAACCATGACAAGCCAAGTGCAACAACAACTCCCTCTTAAGGGAAAAGGAGGCCAAGCAGGAAGGGAAATCTTGGAAAAGAAGATTCTCCAAGCACAACTACGAACAATTCCATCAAGAAAAAAGCGTGGGAGACAGCAGAGGAAGCCCTCGTGGCTCCACAAAAAGCCAAGTGACGGCCTGGAAGAAAGGAAAAAAAGAACATGCACTGGAAGTGGAAATAGGGCCAGGCCACGCAAGAAGAATATAAACAATCTGCAAGGAACTGCGGAGATGGCATCTGGAAGGCTAAAGCAGGGGACAAACTGAGAAAACAGGCAATGTAAGAACAAGAAGAAAGCCTCCTTCAGATAACATCCAAATCAACAGACGCATGAAAGAAAAAAGAGTCCAGCTATTTAAAGTAGATGGCAATGTATAAATGTAGTAGTAATAATAAAACTAATACACACACACATATTTAATGCATTATAAATGTTATGGTGATAATAATAATAATGGCAGAGTGATAACAGATGACAAGAAAAAGGCAAGGTGCTCAGTTCCTGCTTCACCAGAGCATTCTCACACAAGAAATTCTACTACACAGAGGAATTACTAGCTGAACGTGAAAGATGGCAGTTCAAGGCTGACAGACAAATGGACAAAGAATACCTAGATGGAGTAAAAGGTAAAGGTTTCCCCTTGACATTAAGTCCAGTCATGCCTGACTCTAGGGGGCGGTGCTCATCTCCATTTCCTAGCCAAGGGAGCCAGTGTTTGTCTGCAGACAGTCTCCGTGGTCATGGGGCCGGCATGACTAAACACCGAAGTGCATGAACGCTGTTACCTGCCCACCGAAGTGGTTCCTTTTTATCTACATGCATTTGCATGCTTTTGAACTGCAAGGTTGGCAGGAGCTGGGACGGAGCAACGGGAACTCACCCTGTTGTGCAGATTCAAACCGGCGACCATTTGATCAACCAGCCCAGCAGCACAGCGGTTTAAACCACTGCGCAACCTGCAGTCCCCTAGAAGGAGTAAATTCGTTCAGATCTCCAGTGCCCAATGAACTCCATCTCACAATCATAAAAGAATTAGTGGAGAAACACTCAGAGCCACTGGCTACTATCTTTGATAAATCCTAGAAAACAGGAAAAGTGCCAGACGACTGGAGAAGGGATAACATTGTCCCCATCTCCAAAAAGGGGGAAAAAGGTAAACCAGGAAACTACACTCCAGTCACTCTGATATCAACCACTGGAAAAATTCAGCAGCACATTATTAAAAAAAAAAATCCATCAGCAAGCATCTGGAAGAAAATGCAGTGATTAATAGGAGCCAACATGGATTTATCAAAAATAAATCCTGTCAGACTTATTTAATCTCATTTTTTTGACTAGGTAACCTCCCAAACGGACAGAGGGAACATAATCTCCCTCAACTTTAGTAAAGCTTTTGACATAGTACCCCACAACATTCTGAAAAGCAAATTAGCAAACACTGAACTAGATAGAAAGCTGTTAGGTGGAGCCAAAACTGGCTGCTAAATTGGACACACAGAGTGCTCATCAGTGGCACCTTCCCAGGCTGGAGGGAGGGAACGAGTGGGGGGCCGCAGGGCTCAGTCCCGGGCCCGGTGCTCTTCAGCCTCTGTATGAATCAGTTAGACGAGGAAGGGCACGGGAGGATCATCAGATCTGCAGACAGTTCAAAACTGGGCGGAATAGTGAGCCCCCCAAAAGACAGAATGAAGAGCCAAAGCGATCTTGATAAACTTGAACGCTGGGCTGAGAGCAACAGAATGAGATTCAGTAGGAACAAGTGCCACCAAATGCATCGATACGAGATGGGGAATATATGGTTTAAGGGAACTGAAAAAGACCTCGGAGTAATTGTGGACAACAGGCTAAACATGAGCCAGCAATGTGATGC